CGCCCCGGGGGCGGGCGGGCCTCTCCCCTCTCGGGTCGGCGGAGCGGCGGGGCCCGCGTCTGCTGCGAGCCGCTTTCATTTACAGCGGTTTAGGTCCTTAACTTCATAGGAGTAAAAGGCTTACGGCGTTTGGCAATCAGATTCTGCCGTGATGGTTCAGAACGCTGAGGTATAATCTGTTGCGCTGAGCTATGTCTCGCTAAACAGTCGTTCCTTTATTTCTAGGCTTACAATGTCACTACCAGCAAAGAGATGTGGAAGGCCCCCCGTGTTGTCTTTTCTGGAAAAGAAAAAGAGAAAGCAAAGTCTTGATAGAAGAAGGGGGAAGACAAGGATTTATGTGGGAAATCATATTGACCGATGGTTGACACTTAAAGAAAAGTTGGATTTCAGAAATGATGCAGAAGTTGCAGGGTTTTTACTGGACTTGTGAGTAGAGTGTCACAATACTCCCCTGTTTCCTAATACCAAGTAAATAATTCTTGGCGTTAATACCAACTGGGTATTTTCTTTCTAGGTATGACAGCTACAACCCATTGTCAAAAGCTCCGATCTGTTCCCTACCTGAGGGTGTGAGAAGAATTACTGTGAAAGAAGAAAGAGCATTGTCGGGCAGCACTTCTTTAATAGCAGCTGATGGAACGTTAGTAGTATACTCTCTTTATATGTGAAGGGCGGATGAAATATTTTTCTTGATAGTACTTAAAAGACCGTAGCTGACATTTTAAAAAAATGGGGTGGAAGTTATATAAGAAAGAAGAAAGGCTACAGCTAATTTTATTTAAATGGAAGATTTTTGGATATCCTTTGTAGAACAGCTTATGTATTTGTTTTGTCGTTTGTGTTGTTGAACACCTAATATTAGTCTAGATGAAACAGAAACAAATATTTTTTGCAGAAGAAATGTTTCAATTGACAATTTGGGTTGTATTTGCAGGTATGACAATGATGACCAGTTGTCTAAGGAATCTGCTTGTTCTGAACTTGGAGATGTGAGAATTGTAACTGTGAAAGAAGAGAGAGAGATGCCGCATGACTGCTTGTCAACAGAGACAGATGACACGTTAGTGATACTACGTTTTTTTGCATGTTTTGCATTTGAAAATATTTTGCCTTGATTTTATGATCACTTTTAATTTTGTTTATTAGAAACTCATGTCATTCATGCTCTGATTCATTATCTAAAAGCATTTTGGTAAGTAATGGTTGGTCCAGTCCTTCTGAGGCAAGAATCTGAGAGACATTTTGGAAAAGGTGTAACACTCTTAGAATACACGCAGCAAACCTGCTTGATCAGTGACTGCCTTCCTTAATTGTGTACAAGATTCATGAGTGGAACAAGAAAATAGCCAGTACTTTACATGTATCCTAGTCGCTTTAGTGAGCAGTTAGATTTTTACAGTAGTACAGTTTCCAGGCAAGTGCAATTGCTCGTGCTTTAACCTTTCTCAAAAGAAGAATGTTTCATTCTTGACTGAGTGATATTACATACAAAGTGATGTGTTAACCTATCTAAAAATAGTGCCGTGCTCACCGAGGCAACCACACCATCAGTCGACTGCTGATTTCTTTTACTGCAGTGTCATCAGTAACTGAGGCATTCACAGTTGAGATCAGAGGAGCCTCAAATAGGTATGCTTATCCATTACTCTTTCTTTAGGTTTCAATTATCCACAACAGTGTTACTGAATAATTGTAATTTCGTCCATGTCTTAGTTATCTCACCTTTAAAAAAATGTATCTTTTAATATGTGCAGGGGGACACTGAGAACCTAGGACATTGCATTGGCATTGCATGGTGTGTCCAAACCCCTCGCTAATATGGTGAAGTACGTAACGCATGTAGCATGTTTGTCTGAATCTCGTTTTCCACTGTGTTTTTGCTTGTGGCTTTCCTAATTCTTTTTACTTTTGATTTTTAGTAGGTGAACAAGTTGGGGTTCTGAAAGCAATTCTGTGGCACAGAAGAATTCTTGGAAGCTAGGTCAGGAGAAAATAAAATACCAGTGCTGATGAAGCTGAGAAATTCAAGTACATTCTTCAAAATAGCAGTTTTTCTCTGGCAATATAATTTTAGTGTGGAGTGCAGCAATAGAATTCCTGGGACTGATTTGATACAGGTGAGACGGGGGTTTGTTCTTAATTGATTGCTTATTTCAGCCTTCTGAGATGTGAGAAATATTGTGAAAAGTTGTTTGGTATGAGAAAAACTTTCTGTGACCCTAAAAGGTAAGGTATACGATGCTTTGTTACAGTCTCATGATATCTGTGTGAAGATGCTGGATAAATGATCAGGCATGTACGCAGTGGTAATTGTATAAAGCTAAGAAATGACAGCTCTCTAAGAATAGAGAGATTAAAAAATAGGAAGAGTTGGATGGGACAGACATCCTAGGGCGTACTGTGTTATTCTAGGGAATATTTACCTACCAGGAGTAGTTGTGTAGCCTCTCTATGAGGAAAAGAATTGCTTTTGTGTTTCAGTGTCTGAACACCACATCACTGGTAATGCTTTTGGGTTTGTTTTTCATTCACAGTATAGCAGTGAGGTAGAGTGATGATGTTATTGAGGGGTTCTTATTAGTTGTGGGATATCCATATGGTGGTCAAGTGATTTGCCCAAAGTCGTGGTGGTAGCTGAACTTGGGTCTTAAAAGTAAGACTAAACTCAGTTACTAACTCAGTGGTTTTAGATGGGTGGGCAAAATTCTGAATTGTTGTAGGAAATAGTTGGTTTCCTTTGGAAAGGAACAGTGGTTATGTTAATGTATACTTTTTTTTTTCTTCTTGGTTTTAAAGGTGTGGTACTGCACTTCCTATTGAAGGGTGGAGATGAAGGCAGGTATTTCCTGCTTTCCAGGCATTTGGGTGTCATGTTTTCCTGTTGCTGTTATTGTTTTGGGCCTTATGGAGTACGTCTTTTCATTCTATGCTGCTATATTAGGGCCAGGAAAAGAACAAGGTCTTGTTGAGGGGGCTTTATTAACATTAAAATTCTGAATTAATAGTCATAAAGCAGCTGTTGTATTCTAGGCCTTTTACTCTTTAGTCTAGTTTTAGGTTGGCTAAACACAACCTGTTAAGGAACTGGAAATATCAAAGATAACGGAGCAAGAACACCTAAACTCACCTGCTTCATCAGTGGCTTTAATATTTCGTTTCTGTCTTGTTTATGGAGTCTTGCCAGATGATGTTAGCTTTCAGAGGTTGCTGCTGTTGTAGAGAATTAAGTTGATGGAGAAACAGTGAGGGAGTCGAGTAGCAGGGATTTCAAGATTCTTGCCAGGTGAGATGGTATTTTTTTTGAGTTCTGGCCTTCGTGAAGAGTTGGAATGTTGAAATAACACAGGAAGAAAAGAACGTACGGAAATCTGATTTAAAGCATTACTAGCAGGGCATAGCCAAAGGGAAGTGTTACTGAACCATGTCCAGTTAGGTTCCTGAATACACTCAGTTCTTCTCTAATGCTTCTTCCGTCATTAACTTCCAACTTTAACATTTAGAACGCTAACCAATCTAGATTCAAATTATTTTTCTGGTTTAGGTGTAAGAAGTGCAAAACTGTCAAAGCAGATAATAAGCAATTCTTTGTTTTTACTTTAACTTTTGTTATTTACTCTGACTTTAAGATTGAAGAATGATGAGTCAAAGTAGTCGAATAGGGTTTTCTGAGGAAGCTTTGGGGGATATGGGATTCTTTTTACTTCTGCAGTATTTGAGTGATAGAGATTCAAAAATTCTTTACCTGGACCTTTATTAATGACACAGATTCTAATGATAGAACTAACTTTCCTGGGATTTGATTACAGAATGTATCTTTTTTTTTTGCCTTGATTCACTAAGAAATGAAACAGAATACAAATACAAAAGAAATACTCAGAAGTGTCACAGCAGTTTGGTGAGGCAGACTGAAACCTGTAGGATGAGTTGGTGTCAGTCATTAGTAAATGATTAGTTGGGAAGGCCCTGCTTTGAAGGTAGGCTTCAGCTTCAGTTCCTGTCTCTCCTAAAACGGTAGTGGCAACTCCTTTTATAACGATTTTTGCTGCATAACTTTTCTCACAGTCATGGGATCTTGCAAGAGTCTGTATTGCAGAACTTCTCTTTATCTTAACTACTCTGTTGTCTGAAAAGCCGTACAATTACTGTCCAGACAAGGCAGTTGTAAAGTGTAATTCCCTAACTTGGAAAGAAAATAAACAATCTTGAGGAAATGTCCAGCAAGCTGTTAACACGGAACACTTACCATGACACCAGTGTGAACAGCTGAGGAGTTTCTTAGCAAGCAGGAAAGTAAAACTTAAATTACATTTAAAAGACAAAAAAAAAAAAAAGATAATCTGCTTAGTAGGACAGCTTCCTGTGCTCTACCAAGACATTGGTTTTCGATGGTTTGTTTTGACTAGTCTGCATTCAGACTCTGTCTGTCCAAAGTAGAAAATAACAATTCTTAATTGAACTAAAAGACTTTGCATGTATTGTTTTTGGTCTTTAGTGTTCACAGTTTGTTTTTAATTAAAAAAAACCCAGCGCACACACACCCCACCACCCGCCCATGACAAACCACAATCTGTGGTTATTTCACTAATGTAACCTGAAAGTGAATGTGTAACACTGCTTTTCCTTACAGAAAATTAAGATGGAGTGGTTAGTCTAAGACAATTAAATAATTTACGTTATTGTAATGCTAAATGTTGATCTGTATTTCACTATAGTGAAACCTATGTATATACATCGTAAAAACGTAAGATGTTGGTCTGATTATATGTATTGTACACACAAAAGCACAAATGGAACTATTGTAATATTTTCCATTATTTCAAAGTTAGAAGATTGTATTAGGGGAATGTACTTGCCTAGACATACTTTTTGAAACAATGCAAATGTATTTAATATTTAGATATTTGAATGTCACATTGTAACTATGATCATTGTGTTACTTTGCAGGTGACCAGCAAGAAGAAAATCAAGCTCTTGCATAACAATACTGGGGCAGTGTTTGGTCCATTTTGATTTTGCTGTGAGGGTATTGTGAACTATAAAGAATTACTGTAAGTTGTAGTATGAAATTCCATGTTACTTGTTGAACAGCACATTAAACTTAATTATCTAAAGTTTTATTGTGCTATGTTAACATTAATAAAGTGTGTGGAGTGGATTATTTCACTGTGAGAGTCTGTACGTAGTTCTTAGGAGGGCAACAAGAAACAACAAGCCAAAATGCTAATAGGTATTGCTCAAGCTTACTCAGAATTTATTCATTTTCTGTAGGTTGTGTTAATGAAAAAGTTCCTCGCATTTTATTTAAAACTCAAAGGGCTAAAATAAAAACCACACTGCACATCTAGTAGCAGTTGCAGCATCAAGCACGCTTCCATCCTGAATGAGTTTCTTGGAATGCTTTTTCTTAGGGAACAAATTTAACATATCCCACATACTGGAAGGTATTCTTGCAGGTTATTGGTGCACTTAAAAATGAGGGGTGAAAACACTGGACTACATAGTGTGTTGTGTCTAGTGCCTTCTAAAAAATAAGTAATCAAGATCAGATACTATGTCGTTTATCTAAATATATTTTGTTACTGAATAATTTGATTTCTTGCTTTGGCTTTTGATACTACTTAGGGTGATATATGATGCCTCTTAATTATGTCCTTCTCTTAACAAAGACGAACTAAGCGTGGAGTGCTTTCAGTAACTGAAGTTCATCAGAATAGCGTTGACAGTTCTGAATTTGTTTTGTAGTTACTAAGTATGAGTAATCCTGGAAAGTTTTTAAATGAGAAACTGTGAAATTAGTATGATTGTATTCACTATATGTTTGTCAGGACAGAAACTTCCAGTCTTCTGATTCTTTTTTTTTTTTTTTTTTTTTCTTTTCTTTAACCACACACTTTCATAAGCGTTTAGGTCTTGATCTTACAGTATTCAGGCCAGCTGGGTTTTCCCATCAACTTACATTAGAACAGCCTCTCTCTGTGGAGAAATTCCCCTGATTAGGTCATTACACTCAACAGTCAGTTTTTTTTAATGAGCTACTTCACCTGCTATAAGAAACTGCTG